AACTATATTTTTAAAAAATTAAATTTTATATATATATATATATATCGTCCATTGAGGCCCCACCCTACCCCCGGGGGTCACGATTTGAACAAACTTGAATCTACACCACCTGAGGATGCTTCCATATAAATATGACCAATCATTGCTTTGCTGTTCTTGAGAAGAAGATTTTTCCAATATATTCCTATGTAAAACTTTGATCGTCCATTGAGGCCCCACCCTACCCCCGGGGGTCACGATTTGAACAAACTTGAATCTACACCACCTGAGGATGCTTCCATATAAATATGACCAATCATAGCTTTGCTGTTTTTGAGAAGATTTTTGAAGATTTTTCCTATATATTCCTATGTAAAACTTTGATAGTCCATTGAGGCCCCACCCTACCCCCGGGGGTCATGATTTGAACAAACTTGAATCTACACCACATGAGGATGCTTCCATATAAATATGACCAATCATAGCTTTGCTGTTCTTGTGAAGAAGATTTTTCCTATATATTCCTATGTAAAACTTTGATCGTCCATTGTGGCCCCACCCTACCCCCCGGGGTCATGATTTGAACAAACTTGAATCTACACTACCTGACAATAATTCCATATGAGTTTCATCTTTCCTGGCCCATTGGTTCTTGAAAAGAAGATTTTTCAATAATTCCATTAATTTGTTGCTATTTTGTAATTATCTCCCCTTTGAGGAGGGAGTGGCCCTTCATTTGAACAAATTTGAATCCCCTTTACCCAAGAATACTTTGTGCCAAGTTTGATTGAAATTGCCCAGTAGTTTTGGAGAAGAAGATGAAAATGTGAAAAGTTTACGACAACAACGACGACGCCGACAGACAACGGACAAATTTTGATCAGAAAAAGCTCACTTGAGCCTTCGGCTCAGGTGAGCTAAAAAATTCTTAATAATTTATGGGAACATTATACATGTAAATGAAAAATACCTTTATTTTACGTTCCAGTTCTGCATCACTGTACCCTGTTGATCCTCGCCTTGGTGGATAATCACACCGTCGCAAACGCTTCCCCACCGCGTTAGAGCTTTGAACATAATGCATAATGACATTAGTAAAACGAATAAATCATTAAAGAAAATGTTAAAGTACAGGTCCACCTAAGAATCAGGCAAAATCAAATTTTTGTGATAAGTCAGTGTTTGAGAATCGACTTGAAACTTCACATGGTTATGCATCAGGACATACGTATTACATATATTCAATCATTTGGAAATGTTCAGGCTTGTTCTAATTTAATCGGCAATATATTGAGAAAAATATTATGAGCATGAGTAGTACAAATCTATACAATGGTATGGATATTGAAACCTTAAATAATTAAAACAGCAAACGTTATGAGAGAAAGTGATAATGAACAGCGAATCAGCTATTTAAAAATTACAATATTAAATTTTAAAAAGTTTGGAAAATTGCGAGTTTAGCGTTTACTACCCCGATAATTACTTCCAATATTAGGGAATTTTAGTTATCGTTCTTGATTTATGACCTAATTTGCCGCTTGAGGGCGCTCCGTTGTTAAGTACGCTGATGCAGTAAAAATAGAATCAAATTGATTAAACATCGAATTGGGCATTTTATTTTGGTTTAATTAATCTACTGAAAATTAAGGAATGTCTAACTTTAAACTAAACATCTTCTTTCCTTGAAATCTAGCGATACATTGGGTGTCAAATTTGATCGGGTTCAGGTTGCTCGAATTTCCACACTTGTCATTTAGGCACGATTATAGTTTTACAGTTTGACTGTGTATTAAAGATGCACAAGAGTTTATTACAGACTGAAAAGAAAATTGGTCTTTGCATTACACAACGCACTTCAAACAATCGTTGCCAAACAGCAGTTTATTGAAACTCCAAATCCTAAAGTCATGTTCATTGTTTGCGAGGAAATGCGGACTTATTCGAGTTATGCGACATTCGATTTGGGAACTACATAGCCTATGTAACACTTGATTGTGGTTATTTCAAGACACAATTATATATCTTACATTTATGATTTATTTCCCGAAATCCTGCTGAAATATGGAAATTTTCTTCTCAGAAAAAGAGAGTTTGTGATGCAGTTCATGTGCAGGTAAGTAGTTTTTTAAGCTAACAATGGGGAAAACCCTTTTGATGTCAACCAAAAATAATAACAAGCTTTTATCCATTAAGTTTTAAGTTTTTCGGTCTTTTTCAAAATTATTTCAAAGTTGGATGTAATTTTCTTTTCTTGGAAATCCTTCCTATGAATAAGGAGCACCCCATTTGATAAAATGTGTATAGATATTTATCTAAACTACTAATTATAAAAAAAATATCTTGCTTAAGACTTTAAAAATGTCTTTTAGGGATACGTAATTAAATCGTCTCATTATTATTAAATTTTATGCTTATTCAGAGTTTAAAATACTGGGTAATATGCCTCTGCATTTAATTTCAGACAAGTTCAAGCTGCAGAAAAGTTCTTTGGTCTTCCCAAATAGTCGAGGTTTTCTTCTGTCCAAACTTCAAAATTTAGTGAAAAAAAGGAGGAAAAAACTTTACAAATGAAAGAATTTTCTTAAATCACATCGAGTAGAGAATCTGGTGCCTTTTGTTATGTTTTACCATCATAAAAGCTAGTGACAGTAGTGTAGGTAAAATGTCCTACATTGCTCATTACCTTTTGTAAAAAGGGAATAAAAATAAATACAAGTTGAGATTTAGTCGAGAAATCAACTGAAACCATCCAAAAGTAGAAGCCCACCAGTCCATACAATTGACCAAGTTCAGAATTTGACATGTGCATGTCTTTTGCATGCATGTGCATGGCTGCCTTGAAAAGTACTGTTTAAGAGGATTTTTTTTTAATCATTTGGATGGAATGATAAAGAACTGATATTGTAACAACTTTTCTATCTACTTTGTGTAATTTACATGTAATTTATAAATTGTTAACATTAAACATGTTAAACCTTTTTGCAAATTGGTCATTGTTGATGTCATAAGAATTAACATGGAAATTTTCATATTAAAACATTTAGTTTAGTATTTCCAACAACATGCCGTATTTGTTAAATATGCAATTAAAAATATCATATTGCTGCTCATATGACGGTACAGTAAATCAAATATTGCAGTTGCATGGTTTTCTGCAGTTGAACAAAATCCTTTACAATATTCCTTTCATATATAATTTGAGAGTTGAAGAACTTCATGAATTTATAATTTTATTTATAAAAGTCAACAGTTTTAGAACACTGCTAGCAGAGACCAACATACTCTGACATGTTTACATAGTAATTATTGTTCTCAGGCATGAAGCATAATGAATTCTCTGTTGTTAATATATATATATATATATATATATATATATATATATATATATATATATATATATATATATATATAGCTGCTGTATTTGACAAACATGCATGCAGTAAAAGCTGAAAAGGTAAATGAAAAAAAAAAATGCTTCTATGAAAAGAATCATCCTAATATACGAGGGTTGTTCGGAAAGTTCGTGGACTTCTGTCACATCTTTTTTATTTAACGTCATATGTTATCCAAATTTGGTAGAAATATTTTAACAATGAATTTAAATGATTTGTATTAAATTTTTCAAAAATATCATGATTTATTTAAAACTTATCCAGAATTAAAAACTGCAAAAATCAGATCGCGGCGCAGGTCAAACTTTAGTAATTTACAAACAATAAACTAAATAATGTCTTAAGTCATCTTCTCTGTAAAATGGAGCAAAAACGAAAAAATCCTAGACGGTTAAATTGAGAACTGTTACATCGATTCGTATTCCAAATTATGGCTTAATATTTTGCTTCGGTAAAAAGAAATCAAATTTAGAAGATAGGTAGTCCTCATTGAAAACGACAAAAACGATGACGTTGTAGAACGTCACGGAGCAGCAGATAACGATGCAGTTTTGTGTTATACTCGGGGAAAATCCTGAATAAACGCTAAAAATGTTGGAGGAATCAGAAAATATGCCACAAGCGAGTAGTGCATGTGTGTGTAAATGGTAGAGGTGGTATTTCAGTGACAGAGACTCTGTATCGGACGAGAACAATCTGTGAAGAAACGGTTTAACTGTAAAAATCTGAACGAAAACTTTTAAAAGTTGGGACGTCATGGAAAGATGTAGGCGCTTCAGAGTTGCTGATCTTGTGAAAGCACAGTTAAGCGGTAAAAGAAATTAAAACATTAACAAAGGAAATTATAAAACAAGGACAATTGTAAGAAAAATAAATGACAAGTAATTGAAAAAGGTTTTTAATACGTGGGTATTGGACTATACTGTGTGAATGTATAGGGGTAGAATTTTTAAGAAACTCTTGACGCTATGTTTTTGACGTTCGTTATCTCCATATATTTCACGTTACATTGCTTTTAAGTGTGCGCCGTGGTTACAAAACATGTTGATTTAAAAATTAAGTAAATTAATTTCTATCAAATCGAATGGAATGATATTTCACAGATCAACAAAACAAGTATTTTTACACATGATATTGTGCTTATTTTAAATTTCTTGGAAGAAGTATAACAAAGATTGACATCGTCCACGAACTTTTCGAACAACCCTCGTATAGTGATTGGTAATCATGATTACTATATGAAAAAACTGGATGCATCTACTCAGGTTTAACAGCTGTTTTAGTGTTGAAAATAAAAACAGAAAGACGTTGGGTACTTCATATACAGAATTTCGATCCCGATCATAATTCTCTCCTAAAACTATTTAAAAGATGTAAAGTTAATTCCAGAGTAAACTTGGTAAATTGAATAGGAAAATTCATAATAATGTGATAAATGTAATAAAAAAACAATGAAATGAAAGTTAAATTTAACACACAATGCACTTAAAATTAGGAAAAAATCTTGTCAAACTTCAAGCAATTTATCAAAATTTCTCAATAGTTTTCCCTTTCCTTAAAAATTGTTCATTGATTTTTCCACACTTTTTAAACTGGAAAACTAATAACGAGCGTTTGTTTAATTATTTTTCGTAAACGTCACTTCCGAGATAATGTGAATAGTACTGCGCAGCCGCCAAGTCATTGAACTGCAAGTAGCCGGAGCGAGTAGACGTGGTCTTACTTGCTCGATCATTATTGATATATTTTTACATATTGACGAGGTCAATATACTCTTAGAACTTTTTCAGAGTTCATTATCGTTTCTGACGTGGTCAGATCAGTTTTCGGGGGCGATTTTGTCTGACGTGGTCAGATATTTTTTCATCGGTTTTGAAAGTTCAAACCACGTGCGTCATGGCGGACGTTCCTAACCCTGACGATGATAAAGCACCGGTCAAGGGAAAGAAAAAAGCCCCGAACAAATCATCGTCTTCGGAGAAGACACCGTCTAACTTACGTTCGTCGTCGAGTTCGTCGACTTCGACTGGCACTTCCACGTGTTCTCGTGGTCATGGCGGAGGACATGATAGTTCCGCGCCAAATAACGAGAATGAGATTCTCAACATATTAAAAGCGATTCAAGAGAATCAAAAGAAACAAGACGATCGTATGACAGAGCTAGAAAATCTGTATGATTATGATTACCAAGAATATGAAGATCGTCAGGACGATACCCCGGAAGAACCGGGTACTTCCGGTGAAGCGGCTTCGAGGAAGCGCGCATTAGACGAGATTCTGACTGATACGGAAAACAAGTACGTCAATGCCGGTAAGAAACTTAAAGTTAAAGAGACTTGTGATAAACCGATTGATGATGAACTAGCTAATCTCGTGACAGATTGGTTCCGAGAGGGAATCGAGGAAGAACGATATAATGAACTTCTGAAAACGACAAATCGTCCTGAAAACTGTTCAGCATTAGTGACTGTGAAAACTAACCAAATGGTTTGGGATTTTTTGAGCCCAACTACAAAATCTTCCGATAAGAAGATGCAAAATGTTCAGACTTCGTTGATCAAGGGTGCTTGTGCACTCACTAAAATGACTTATTTGCTCGGTAAGTGTGACAATCCCGAGATTTTAGACCTTTTGGGAAATGCTATGGAATCATTGGCATTGCTGGGGCATGCCAACAGACAGTTGTGTATGTTGCGTAGAGAATTTATGAAACCTGATATGAAGGGTGAATATACTCACCTTTGTAGTCATAATTTAAAGTATACAGACTATTTGTTTGGTGACGATGTCCCTAAAACTGTAAAAGACATCACAGATTGTTCCAAAATCAGCAACAAAATTGGTATCGGATATAGAGGGAGCTTCCGTGGTCGCTTTATGAGGGGACGATCACGTGGACGCTTTGTCCGAGGAGCTGCAAGGGGTCGTGGATCCTACTCGAATGCTGCATCCTTCTCATCTGATTCAAAAAACTACCAACGAAGAGGCTTGCAGAGTCGCCTCCAGAAGTAGTTGAAAAGGTATGTGAATTTAGAGCAGGTGTACTAAAAAATTTCATTTCTGAATGGAAAGAGTTAACATCAGATAAAAGTATATTAGATATTGTGAAAGGTTGTCATTTGGAATTTAAAAATGATAAAATTCCTGTACAAAATTCAAAACCTTTTGAGCCACGTTTTAGTTCAGCTGAATCATGTGTGATTGACAAAGAAATTGAATCTTTATTAGATATGAATGTAATTGAAGAATTGTCTGAAAATGTAGACCTTAGTGATGGTTTCATTTCCACTGTTTTCACTAGACCTAAAAAGAATGGTAGTTATAGAGTCATTTTGAACCTGAAAGAATTTAACAAAAACATTGTGTATCACCATTTTAAAATGGATACTTTTGAGAGTGCTCTTGATTTAGTGACTCAAGGTTGTTATTTTGCTAGTGTTGACTTTAGCAATGCATACTATAGTGTCAGTGTGGCAGAGGAACATAGAAAGTTTCTTAGATTCATATGGAAAAATAAGATTTATCAGTATACTTGTCTCGCTCAAGGGTTAGCTAGTGCACCTAGACTCTTTACAAAACTACTGAAGCCTGTTTTTGCAACACTTAGAAGATTAGGACATGTCATTATTGGGTATATTAATGACTCGTTACTGATTGGCAATTGTATTAAAGAGTGTTTAGATCATGTTTCTGAAACTTTAGCCCTAGTAGAGAGTCTAGGGTTTGTAGTCAATTATGAGAAGTCTGTTCTCACACCTAGTACAAAAATCATTTTCTTAGGAAATGTTATTGATTCTGAATTGATGATAGTTTCTCTTACTGAAGAAAGAAAGGAATCTATTTTAGAGGCATGTAAAAAATTACAAACAAAATCAAGAGAAAAAATTAGAGAAGTTGCAAAGGTCATTGGATTGGTCGTGGCTAGCTTTTCAGCAGTAGAATTTGGTCAGCTGTTTTATCGTGATATGGAAAGAGCAAAAACTGATGCACTTGTACAATCACAACATGACTATGATGCTTTCATGATTATAACAAAAGAAATGAAATTAGAATTAGATTGGTGGATTTCTAATATTTCTTCATCAGTTAGAAGAATTTTGCATGAACCCTATGATCTTACAATAACTTCTGATGCTTCTCATCTTGGATGGGGTGCTGTTATGAATGAATTGAAATCAGGGGGTAGATGGACAACAGATGAATCTGAAAATCATATCAATTACTTAGAATTATTAGCCTGCTTTTTTGGGTTAAAGTGCTTTTGTTCTGATGTAACAAATAAAAATGTCAAATTATTTATGGACAATACCACAGCTATTTCCTACATCAATAACATGGGTGGTATTAGTTCTAAAAAATGTGATAAACTTGCAAAAGAAATTTGGCTATGGAGTATGAATAGGGATCTGTGGTTAAGTGCATGGCACATTCCTGGTAAAGATAATTTGATAGCAGATATGATGTCGCGCAAATTTGATGATCAAATAGAATGGATGTTGAGCAAATCTGTGTTCCATAAAATTGTTTTAAGATGTGAACAACCTGAAATTGATTTGTTTGCAACAAGGTTGAATAAGCAAATTGATGTATATTGTTCTTGGCATCCAGATCCAGATGCCCGTTATGTTAATGCATTTAGTTTTTCATGGGCAAACATTTATGGTTATCTTAATCCTCCTTTCAGCCTCATTGGACGTGTGGTGAGGAAGATTTGTCAGGACCAAGCAGAGTGTGTACTGGTGGCTCCAGTGTGGCCAACACAGCCATGGTTCAATCGTGTGTTAGAAAAACTGGTGGATCATCCGGTGATTTTACCTGTGATGGACAATCTGTTGACACTTCCAGGCACAGATGTGCAGCATCCTCTGAAAGACTCGTTAGTGCTGATGGCATGTCGATTGTCCGGTTGCAGTACCAAAAACGAGGAATTTCTCATCAAGCAGCCTCGATCCTTTTGGCATCATGGAAGTCGGGAACCAAGAAACAATATAAAACATTTTATACGAGATGGTTTCAGTACTGTAGTGAAAAATCGATTGATCCATTTTGTACAACTATAGAAACTGTTATTGAATTTTCAGCACATCTTTTTCGCCTAGGTTTAGGGTATAGTGCTATTAATACTGCCCGAGGGGCTTTATCTTCTGTTGGACTGATTTTTGATGGGTTTACTGTTGGATGTCATCCACTTGTTATACGATTTATGAAGGGTGTTTTTAATTTGAGACCATCAAAATCTCGATATGTACATACTTGGGATGCATCTATTGTTATCAAGTATTTGAGAAAATTGTCACCTGTAAAATACTTAAGTTTGAAAGACTTGACACTGAAGTTAGTTATGTTAATTAGTTTAATTTGTGCAAGTCGAGTACAAACTATTTCATGCATGAAACTTGGTAATATGACGAGAAGAAAAAATAGCTTTGTTTTTACTTTTAGTGATTTATTGAAAACATGTAGACCTAACAGTAGTATGTCTGACATGGTTTTGAAATCATATCCTCCAGATTGGAGGCTTTGTGTATATATTGTTTTATGTGAATACTTATCAAGGACTGCAAGAATTAAAAATAAGTGTGATTTACTTTTTATCAGTTATGTACAACCACACAAGGAAGTATCAAGAGATACTGTTGCCCGTTGGATAAGAACAGTGATGTGTTCTGCAGGTGTTGATACTACTATTTTTAAGGCTCATAGTGTTAGATCAGCATCAGCATCTAAAGCAAAAGAGAACTTTGTTCCTGTCGATGATATTTTGTCCAAAGTAGGTTGGTCTAATGTCGAAACCTTCAGAAAGTTTTATGACAAACCTGTGCTGAATGATGATAAGTATGCAAATGCTGTTTTGAAATTAAAATAAAGAATTTGATTTCAGTTTGAAAAATTTTTTGTGTTGTGCTTTAAAGATTCACATTAGGGTGAATTCACCATGCATCGGACACTCTCGCACTTCAACAAGTTCTAGCGATATCGCTACCGACCGAATATTATCAAATTGGAACTTAACATGTAGTATGTGGTTAAAATATAAATTTTTGACACAATCGAGTGCCCTTTATTGAGAAAATATCATCAAAAACTGATTTTTTCGAAATAAGTCAGAATTCACCATGGATCGGACAATATTCACCATGCATCGGACATGCGGTATTTAAACCAGAAAAATATCATATCTTGATCTCGGTGCTTTAAAATTAGTGAAATCGAAACATTTTTATCTTTTATTTAAAAATTAACCTTCTAATTAAATTTGAATGACTATTTCGATCCACAAATGTGAAGAGATTTTAGTTGCATCACATCGCCTTAGAAAGGCATTACAGTATTAGCAATATGGCAACTCGCGCCTTTGTCTCGTGTGGGTTATCATCATCTAGTTTAAAGAAATAAATTATGTCCACTTCTAGTCGTCATATATCGATTATTTGTATTTTTCACTGAAAATTTAGAGTTTTTTTTATTTCCGTAAAAAAAAACAGCTGTCATTTGGGTTTTATATTAAAATGGAAGTGATTACCCATGCATTGGAAAGTGTCCGATGCATGGTTAATTTGTGTCCGATGTACGGTGAAATAAACTTACTAGTTAAAAACAACTCTAAAAAATATTATACAAACACTGAAGTAAAATTTTTGAAAAAATTCTGTAAAATTATCAATTATTGATAAAATTTACCTAGGACCGACCCGTTCCGTTGACGTCTATTTAAAAGAACGACAACTCTAAAAATTGAAAAATCGTAAAATTCTGGTTACTCCCCTTTGATGATGCCAAATATGACGTAATTTCAAGGCCATTCTTGTGGTATTTTTATCACAACATGAAAATAAAAATCGGCATCATTAAAAAGATTAAATCTTCATCTTTAAGACAGAAACAAGTAAAAACAGGGGAGACTCAGGTTCAATGAAAGTGTATTGCTTAAAGTTGTCCGAAGCAAGGTATGTGTCCGATGCATGGTTAACTCACCCTATCTCGGAAGTGACGTTTACGAAAAATAACTAGGAAATTAAACGAGACTTACCTTGGTAAAGGCGAAGTTTGATTCCAATTATTGGAGTAAATAAAAGGCACTGTAGAGATGAGGTGCCTCCCTCCCACCCTGCAGGTGGTGAATGTACTACTTGAAATTATTAGTGAAATGAATTTGGGTTTGATGTTTTGTTGCAAATCTATCAACCCAAAAAATTTTAGCTTTGAAGCAATGACTTGGCGGCTGCGCAGTACTATTCACCTTATCTCTACAGTGCCTTTTATTTACTCCAATAATTGGAATCAAACTTCGCCTTTACCAAGGTAAGTCTCGTTTAATTTCCTAATTTTCCCTTGACTTGTTTGGGGACTCTAGATCCCTCCCCCTGCCAATATTTAATTCCAGAACCCTTAGATATCCCTTGGTAAGTTCATTTATTGTATATTTCAGGTTCAACAGCAGAAAAAAAGTTTCGATTGAGGAATCTTTCTTCTGTCTTTCCTCAGGAACATTCTTCAGGTTTGATATTACATGTATTTTATTTTTAGTTTAGTTAAGTATTTAATTATAATTTTATTACTCAAATTTGTTTTTGTTTTTAGACTCAGTCAACATCCCACCTGCAGACTGCAGTGATCCTGACAAGAAACGAAGTGGCAAATTTATACCTGAATGTATGAGGTTGAATAATGTATGAGGTTGAAAAAAAGTTTTTCCAATATGTATCAGTGTTTATTCTAAAATTTACGTGATTCTAAGAACTCTGGGATATCAAAGTAGATAAACTTGGTAAGACAGAAATCTACATCTTAGTCTTCTTACCTATACTTTAATGTTCCTACATGTATTTCATTTGCAGAATGTGTTAACACCTCTATTTTATTGAATCATTCTGAATAACAAAATTACAATAACAACTTAAAAAATTATCATGTTACTTTCAATCAAAATTAATTCATCTCATATTCATCTTAGACTCTACAATCATTACAAAATGGCATACTCTTTCACCGACTTTTTATAACAATTATAGCTGCCTTGAATACTGTAGATACTAGCATATTCTCTGTACGTAAAGAGAAGCCCAGTTACTGGGATATTCTCTGTACATATAAAAAAGCCTGGTAACTGTAATATTCTCTGTACGTACGAAGAAGCCCGGTAACTGGGATATTCCCTGTAAATATACAGAAGCCAGGTTACTGGGATATTCCATGTAAATACTAAGAATCCCTGTTACTGGGATATTCTCTGTACATACAAAGAAGTCCCCTTAAGAGATCTATTTTCTGTACATACACGGAAGCCCCTTTACTGGGATATTCTCCGTAAATACAGAGAAGCCCCATTACAGAGATATTCTATGTACGCACAGAGAAGCCCCGTTACTGGGATATTCTCCGTAAATACAGAGAAGCCCCATTACAGAGATATTCTATGTACGCACAGAGAAGCCCCGTTACTGGGATATTCTCTGTACATACACGGAAGCCCCATTACTGGGATATTCTCCCTAAAGACAGAGAGGCCCCGTTACTGGGATATTATCCCTAAATACACAGAAGCCCCGTTACTGGGATATTCTCCGTAAATATTGAGAGGCCCGGTTACAGGGATATTCTCCTTAAATACACAGAAACTCCGTTACTGGGATATTCCCCCTAAATACACAGAAGCCCCGTTACTGGGATATTATCCGTAAATACAGGGAGATCCGGTTACTGGGATGTTCTCCGTAAATACAGAGAAGCCCCGTTACTGGGATATTCTATGTATGTGCACAGAAGCCCCGTTACTGGGATATTCTATGTATGTGCACAGAAGCCCCGTTACTGAGATATTCTATGTATGTGCACAGAAGCCCCGTTACTGAGATATTCTATGTATGTGCACAGAAGCTCAGTTACTGGGATATTCTATGTATGTGCACAGAAGCCCCTTTACTGGGATATTCTCAATAAATACGGAGAGGCTCCATTGTAGGGATATTCGCTGTACCTACATATAGTAGACCCTTTACTAGGATATTCTCTGTAAATACAAAGAAACCAGGGGCTCGTAACATAAAGTTTGCTAATATTTTGACTTAAGTAGGGTGATTAGTATGTTTTAGGTGCAAACTTAGGACCCGACTAAGTACTACTTAAGTTTGCCTTAAACCGTAACATAAAACGAATTAAGCCAGGTCTTAACTAAGTCAAACATGTTCAAAATATTACTCATGAATCACCCAGTTTTTCACTTTGTTTACATGTATTTCTAAAAAATGATTGATTTAGGTTTTGAATTAAATATAAATTAAATTTTACGTCCTCACTTACCGATTTTAGTATAACCGAGATAAGATTTCGTATTAAATATATAATTCTGTTAAAAATTATCACAAAGTGGCAATAGTGGTTCAATGTAAATGAATGAGTTTTGGTTATCACTCAGACTGCAATGTTTTCAGTTTACCTTTTGTTGTTATTCGTTTGTTTTGAAAAATGTTCATGCGTCTTGTCATTGTCGCAGACATGGCACGATAACCGAACGTCTATCTACTTTGTTAAAGAAGTGGAAACAATAGGGACATTTTGATTTTTTCCCCACGATCTATCAGCGAATATCAGCAAGGAAAGACTGCAGACGTTTTATGATATATTTAGACAGTTTATTATGACTTATTTTCAATATAACCAAAAATCCAAGAGAATTGATTTCAGAAGATAATTTTTCGTATGTTCTAATCTATCAACATCTCTCTCTCTCTCTCTCTCTCTCTCTCTCTCTCTTCAGGAAGACGCTCTTACTGGGATATTCACCGTAAATACAGAGAAGTCCGGTTACTGGGATATT